AAGTAGACGCTGGCCCTTCATATAGCATATTTACATTGAAATCTCCAGTGATCACAACATTTTTGTAATTAGGCAAAAATGTAGATAACGTTGCGAAAAAAGCATGTGGAAGTGCTGCATTAGGCCGTCGGTAAATGACTGCAAATAACAAGGTGTGCATATGCCAGGCAATTTTGATAATTAAAAATTCAGGTGTGTTGTCAAAAAATGAATCTGACTGAGCAAGCGACGAAAGTAGCCAAGGGGATCGGGTGACCGCCAATAAATACCAAAGAAACACCCATTGCATAACATGTTCGTGCCACGGGAGGGAAAAAGAGCGTCAAAGTTCGCACTCGATGGCGCCTGTGCTTGTTGTGGCCAGTTGCAGCGCTGTCACCTATACTCGCAAGTATCGATTACGGTAATTGGCTTGGCGATCGAGGTGGGCTCATCGTGGCGTGCATTAGCCCGTAAACGCTTCGGTGCATCGGGGGTGGCTCGAGGGGGGTAATGAAAAACCCAGGCATGGCTGGCTCGCGTTCGCATGTACGCACCGATCGGGGGAAAGAGCTATCGCTACACGTATATGGGGAGGAAATGCCGACGAGTTGGCGCCTGCAGCTGTACCTCATATTTCGGCTAATCGATCGAATTTTCTCTTCGGCCCATGACTCTCCAACGCCATCGTGAAATGCGTAGAGGAAAAACGTGAAAATTTTTGGCACACAAGGTGACCATGCATTAGTTCATCAGCAGCGCTGAACTCGTATAGGTGTTTTTCGTTGTTTGTTTCGCACACGAAAAATGCCGCCACTACTATGTTTTCAACGCTGCTTTGCGATTTTTCAATTTTCAGCCCAGCCTGTGGTGCACGTTGCCAAACGATTAAACTTGAATAAACTCTCGTCGTCGTTGACATAGGTAGACTCATATTTTTTCCAGTTCATCAATGACACAAGTGAAGTTTATATTTCCTCATTAGAGAGCAATTTTGCTACCTTGACGCATTTCGGCTACATTGCTCGGAGACACCGAGTCTGCGGCCCTGTCCTTTTCACCTGATTTCGGTACGTTTAATTGTAATATACACTCCCGCGTTGCATCAGATGTTGTTAACAGCTGCAATATTTATTATTTATATGGCTATTATTGAAACAATGTAGAAATGACACGATAATGACATAACAAATACCTGACAGCAAACGATTGTGCACATGTAAAAATACAAGCAATTTCTTACTGTGGTTACGCGGTGAACATTGGTTGACTTCCTTCTTCATGTCAGCAAGGGATTAATAATTTTGGGATCTTGTTCGTTTCTTAATAATATATTGTACCTACTTAGAAAGAGTCGTAAACAAAGGCAACCAAAACTTTTTACTATTAAAAATAATAAAAATAAAAATTATTGAACAGCAAGAGCCAGTCCTTTCATTCATTTAATTACATTTACAATGTATGAATACAACATGAGTAGTGTTACACAATTTAAGCTGATGATCTTTATCAAAGCCACATTCTTGAAGTATACTGGTAGTGTTGATTTTTTTTTCACTTTTTTACTTTCGAATAATACCTATACAAACTTTGATACCTTAAAAGGTCACAATTTCACCTTCTTGGCTTCTTCCTCTTCTTTCCTTTTTTCGCTTTTGTTCTCCACAAAGCTAAGCATAATAAATGTTTAAGGAGGCTTACACCTTTTACTCAGTAACTACCAACTGGATGAAATTCAGAGATATGAACAGTGTGAGTTTTTTAAATATTTTACACCGAGTAATTTTTCGATTTACGAAGCCGTACAAGTGGACATCGCTACACAAGTTCTATCCATAATTTTCTGTACTCATTTGCAAAGAAAAATACACGTCATTTTTTAATTCACTTACGTATGATGATAAAAATAGAGGTACGAGCGTGATGTGTGTTTTGATTTAAAATAAACTGTAGATACCTCTAATGTATGAACACAAAAAATTCAATTTTATTAATGCAGTTTTCATTATTTTCTGTGGACACATAAAATTATATAGTTATACTGCAGTAATAATTTGCACTACATTTACATTGTCACTAAAATAACATGGCACTGGGTTACCTCCAGGCAATCATAGATATACAACTGTTTCCCATTAATAAGTGAATTCTTATTTTCTCCATACAATTTATAAAGTGCATTGCTTTTTTCTTTTATTTTTATTTTTTATGCATTTTTTCTTTTTTTTTTTCTTTTTTTTTTTTTTACTGTTTTGNAATATCTTGGATACGACTTTCAAATGTAAATGATTAATGATGACGTAGCTGGATTTTTATTCATTTTGTATGGTTCTTTCCTACTTCATATTCAATTTTTATTTTTTACAGTCCAACAAATCTCACAATTGGGGTTAATAATAGTGTTGTTATTAACAAAGATAGTTAAAAAAAAAAATAACATTATTTTTTTAATGATTATATAATATATTGTACTAACCACTTTATTCCAAAAATTTTTCGTATAAAGATATTGGCAGGAGTTTTCACCAGTAATAAGATAAAACTTTCGACTTTGATAAGAACACTTAGTGATAGTAGACAAAAATGATTTATTTAAAAAAATTTGTAATTCCCTTGTAGTATCGATAGTTATCCAATAGTATCGATGTTATACGATTTTTCATTTCACGGGAGGCTGCTACCATGCAAGTAAATACACTTCTTTTTCTTATCCCCTCGCTCACCCATTTTGATGTTTAGCTATTTTTGATACACATTCGTACTTTGAGGGCTTTAACTTTAGAATACTTTTGTTCTTGTAATGTTTATTTCTCCTTTTATTGATTTTATCAATGTTTGATTAGTCATTTAACGTCTGCTGGAGTATCTATTAACCAATTTTTTCCCGTCAATCGCAATTTTAATGCTAATCTAATAACTTGATAATTTATGCACCCGAATCATGTCATGACTCAGCTATGTGGACTATTGAACAATATTACTGCAGACATAACTCGTTTACTTCTCTATTATTATCCCTAGTCTTACCGATTAGCTTACTAATTATACACATATGTGAGTGAATGTATACGCTTGTTGGGTATTTCTAAAAACAGTAACAGCAGTCCTCGTTCAATTCGATAACGATTTTTATTATTAGCACTAATATTATTATTCTTATTTTTTATTCTGGATTATTTTGTTTCATAAATACAAGTACCCCCATAAGAACAGCTTTTTTTTCTTTGAATTCAACATACTTAATGTCGTCAGAGTTTAATTTACCTTATACACTTTGTACTCAAACAGCAAGATTTTCAACAAGTCACTGGTCGGGCATTTACATCTTAAACATATGTGTCATCGGAAGCAAAATATTTAACTGTAGAAGTTGAAAAAAAAGTTTTGTTGAATGTTTCATAACTATTACAAAATAAAAACAAAATCAAAACGAAGGGAACATGCACGAGAGTCACAACAAAGTACCCAATTAATACCGAAAAATAAACGCCTTCAATACAAATATATTTAAAAATTTCATCCATTCAGGATGTTATATGAACACCTACAGTAATGGAGGACATTGTGGCATCAAAATATATAAATCTTGAGGGCTATTGTAAATTGTAAAAAAAATTTCAGATATGACTGATAATATATCAATAAACAAAATATTTTTAAAAGTAACTTTCTTAAACACACGTTGTATTACTTTCACATTCGATGTAGCTGTAAATAGTTATCTTACTTTTCACAAATAACTTACAAAGTTAAAAAAAATTAATGACAAATGTACAAAAAAAGAACACGATGAGCTTTATTCTGGACTGGAAAGAAACATGTATTGAAAGCGTCTTTAAGAAAGAAGTATATACTATTGAAATGTTACATTTTTGTAGATGTAATGATTATGGGTTACTTTTTTTTACTTGTCCACTACTAGGTCAGTTTGACGCACATCATACAGCAAAATATCAAGCATATCGTGCTAGTAATATGAAGTACGCTATTACGCTTAATTTTGATTGATTCATTAATAAAAAGATTCTATGCAAATGTAGTTGTTTGTTTGACTAGAAAATATTAGTAAAATATTCACAGTACTCATTGTCAAGTTAAAAAAATTTTTTATTCACTTTATGTATTTTATATAATGATATCAACACATTTGGATATCTAGCGTTGCACGCCAACATAACAATCGCACCAGCAATGGGTTTAGATACTCACGTGTAATTTATTTACCCTATGTGATTCAAACTAATTTTTGGCAGTGTTGAAATCTATAAAAATCTACTGGTGGCACTGATTTAATGGCGTAATAAATGCTAGAAGAATGTATGTATTCAAATTGTATATCATTACAAACACGGCAAACGAAAAGAATTTTCTGTGTAAATGTCGTAAGCTACCAATTTTAGTGGTTATTTATTTGTTGAAACTATATTAATCAATAGCTTTTTGTTTTTAGTCTAATTTTTTTTTGTGTAGTTTTAAGGTATGTACTATCTCATATAGTTGTAACTGCATCTATTATAAAAGTTGTTATGTCTATGGTTCTAGAAAACCACTAAATATATAGTTTTAGGCATAAACAAATTATATTTTAACCGTCATAAGGTAAAAATATCCTACCATAGATATTAATTCTCGTACAGGCTTTGTCTTAATTCTAATTTTCAGTATATTATGGGCTAATTACGATGAAACTTCAGTCATGCTTATACACCTAGTTATTTACTTACGCTTACTGGCTTCGTTTAACACTTTAGAATGTTTTTCCGTTGCTCACACATGAATTTATGTCCATAATGTGTTACTCATTGCATTAGAGTATTTCTTGATGTCATTGTTAAGTGTACGTCTCAATGTGTTGGGTATAAAACCGAGATGATACGTTATCACTGGCAACAAGAAAAATCATCAAAATTGATGTTTTGATGAAGTACCTCTGCTACAATCAATAATGTAAAAAATACCTTAAGTAATGCACCAACTTATAAATAAAGGAAAATTTACGTTTAATGGCACCATAACTTATGTACATTATCTCCTAAGTACAAAATATACATAGTAAAGTAGAACGGAAATTCTCATGACTCTCGTCCTGCTATCGCAGAATATTGACACAGACAGAAAAAAGCTGGGTGTGAAGACATCCATCTACTCTGTTTTCGACTGTCTCCTTTAGTATCTGTGTGTGTGCGAAGACTATTGCTTGCATATTCACATATTTTCGTTGATGAAGTGTTGTTAATGCAACTATCTGAGGCTCAGGTGGAGCATAATGATAACAATGATCGTCAGGCTGGCGATCCTGTGGCAATCGTTACTCGCTATCTCTGATGTCACTGCAACAAAGTTTAAGCACAAATTTCTAAGATCAAAGCAGTGGTTGTGCAAAACGAATTGAACGCGTACATATAATTCAATTAGCTTGTCATTATTATAAATATTGTTATAATTATGATTATCATTGTTGTTGTTGTTGTTGTTGTTGTTGTTGTTGTTGTTGTTGTTGTTGTTGTTATTACTGTTGTTGTTAATGTTGTCGTAATCATTAAAATTCTTTGAAATAAAAAAAATCATAAAATTAATTAAATTAGAGAAATACAATTTTGAAATAAAAAACATGATTTTGTTTGCAATGCTATTACAGATAAGAAAAACTATAATTGTAAAAACGATAAAAAATATTAAGAAATTTGTTACAAGTCTAGCTTATTCCGTTAATTTTTAGAGAATTTTTAAAGAAGATAGGGTGAATTGACTCCATCTGTACCTCGGTATATAGTACAGATGCGGGTTACCTCGAAACATGATACCTACTGACTATGTGGAAGAAACAAGAAAAGTCAGAGCAAAATTGAAACTAAAGTGGACCCAATATTTTCGTTGTTGCAGTTAGTGTGTTGACATTATTTTTAACAATATTTGTATTTTCTGGCTCCTTTGAGGCCTTTAGCTTTTGATGAGGTCCCAATCAACGTAAACTTTAACTCGCAAGATTTTTTGTGGATATTTTAACTTGTTTACTACCCCACAGTTAGTGAAGAAAAATCATATCTAGTTACAAGAAAATAAGTATGCAATATTAATGTGAAGAAAAGGAAAAATGTGTGGGTAGATTTTTATCCCCTGTTTGCCGAAGCAATGAACTATTTCACGATTCAAAGAGGAAAACGTCTTGACTGTACGCCAAATTCCAAAGAGCATTTGAGATAAAACTGAGAGTAAACAAACAGCAACGAAAAGTTTCAAATGCAAAATCCCTCTTATGTAGAATGGGTATAGAGAAAAAAAAAGATGGGCTGTGTGTTTAAAAAAACTTGCCCTTTACTGAAATATCTTTATTAAGTATTTTATTATATACACGTAAATTTAAAATAGTAGAAATAAAAAAACAAAAGAGACTTATCTGCATTTGTGTTTTTATACATGGTTAATACACAACAATCATGACTACGTACCTGAGATATAGCTTACGAGAGAAAGAATAGAGAAAGAAATTAATTGAAAGTGCTACAAGGGACCGAAAAAATCGTTTCACTCAGGAGCATAGACAAAAAAAAACCTGTGCAGAAAAAATGATTGCAATTAATTTCTCGACATGTGACGAAGAGTGAAGTTGCTTTGTAGGAGACAATGGGGGTACAGAAGGGTATATGCTGCTTCTATAGAATTTCGTTAAGTCTGACGGCGGTAGAAGAAAATGAGCGAAAGCAAAAGATAAAAAGAAAGCCAGCGCCCGTTGAGTTGGTTACTGAAAAATCAACGATAATGCAATGAAGCTTGAAAAATCAAAAAGTATAATTAAAATATCTGTAGGATGAAACCACCATTTTAATTAAAGATATTTTATAAATCTCCATGTAGTCGTTGGAAATTCGAGATGCGGGGGAAGATGTAATCTTCTTATCCTTTACGATTTCACGCCATTACAGAGGAGGGAGTAACGTACTCGTAGGAATGAGGGTGCATGCATTAATAATAACGAGACAAAAGAGTGGGTGTAAAGAGAAAGAACTTGTAGGTGTTGGAAGTGGTGGGAGGTGAATACAACGCTAGTAAAAGTTTCAGCCCGTCGTGCGAAGTGGTATACGCGTGTAACGTTTTCCTCCCGAATAATGGGCTATGCGAACGCGTCTGATAACGAGAGAACAGAAAAAGCTGAATATAGCACGTAGCGCGTTTCACGTGATTCGATTTCTGTATTGTAAATTATTGTACTGAACACACTAACCAAGACACATGCACATTGTAAAAGGGTGCTTTTGTGACATTATCTACAGCTTCAGTTACTGATTTTACTTGTCATAGACATTGCACTTTGTGGTTCGTCTGTCCCTCTTGGACACGTAATATTGTCTCATTGTATAAGATAATCCAAGTAAACATGAATAGGTACCGACTAGTACGTAACAACTTGTGTTCACGTGTGACCTGAATATTTAACGCTTATCTTCACTTCACGAGGTTCCACTGGCTTTTGTCAACGTGTCAAGTTCGGCAACTTCATACGTATCAAAAGGGTTGACTAGAGACGCAGTAATATATGTAAAGGGATTACGTGGCTAAACTTTCAGACGGAGCGTTATGTGCAGTTGCTTAACACTTCCTCACACCATACAGGTATTTTATCAAACTCTGTTATGATTACAGTATCATCTAATTACATGACCAATAGTCATTAATACGCCCTGAATAAGTTATGACTTATTGATTTTATAGAACTTGAAGCCATATTTATTTGCATTGTTATTTTAATTTCAGCCACATAGAGGTTCTTAGCTGGTAAATACTTGTCCTTTATATATTTATAAAGTGCTTATTTAAACGCCAGCCTTTTATATTTATTTCAATGTACATTAAAAGTGTTGAGTAACTGTTGATAAAAAAGTTGAGAGTTTACCTAGATGGATATATAGATAGATAGGTATAATTTTTATTCGTACAATTTGTATAATATTGCAGCTATAGTTGTTAGGATGGCTTGTAATATAACGACAACAGCTTAAATCAAGAATTAAGATTGAAAGCCGAAATGGCTTCAGTTTCTGCTGTGAAACGCGAGGAAGGAGAAAATAAGAACAAGTTTCTAAGCTCCTTTAAAGAAAAAGCGATAGCTGATGCAAAAGTTTTAACGAAGGGCTCTAGCGCTGCTCTGTGCAAATTCGATAAAGGCCAGCTCGTACAAATACCATAACACTATTTTGCAACGTTTTTGACAAAAATGTTTTGACAATATTGACTTCAGGCAGTAAGAAAATTAATAGATTATCTTGGAGTAATGCGTGAAATTTTTGTGCCTCGAATAATCCATGTAGTGAAGATAAGACGGTTAATACAGTATTAGGTTTTTAAGCCTACAACTATTCATTTGGAATATCAAAGGCTTAGGGACTTTTTAAAGTTACCGACATCATCCAGAGCGATTCAAACGAACAATATATGTTCAAGAGAAAAAAGTACAAGTTATAAAGAGAAGAAAAAAATGATATTACTCTCATCAACCGTGACGGCATGGTAAATCATGATCTTAGCCCTTGATTTTCGTGATTTAGTGGTTTTTCTGTTATGGTGGTTATACTACGATCGACAAGTGTGCAAAAGACAAAGCTCCGGTTCCGAAATAGTAGTTTTCCTTCGAGTTTGAAAAGTCTTTGTTTGCGAACCGAGAGGTTTGCGGCCCGAGCCGAAGGCGAGGTCCGTAACGAGGTTCGTAAAGGAGACTTTTCGAACGAGTTCCGGAAAACTGCTTTTTCGCCCGAGGAAGTACCAGCCTCCCAAAACCACCCGAGGACGGGAAAATTTATTTCGTGATGGGTACATTATGGTAATCTCTTGACAGCGTGACGTAACAACCTAATTGCGAGCCTAATCGAGTAAGAAAATTTTTCCAAGTGGTTCTTTTCCTCACATTGTGCTGAGACAATTGGCACCTTTTTTAGATAATACGTGAATTATACACTTTACGGCTACGCCCTTAACGACGTAGTAGAGTTGTGGTGGGAGAAAAAAAATTAGTTTCACAAAAATATTACTGACCAATACTGACTGACAAATAAACGGATGGTTGAGAATAACTATCATTCGACAAAGCAAGTCAAAGATCGTACAGTGACGGTAGTGTGTTCACGTACTTTGAGTAAAAACGCGCAGCTGCTAAAAGTGTAAGTACTTTCTACCATAAGTTCCTCATTCTTCCACCATAACTTCTCTGTAATGTTACAGCTGACTTTTTTATATTTGGTTTAGGGATGTTTATGGTTCAAATTGAATTATATGGTGGATACCTATTAAAAAGGGTAATCTCAATCACGAGATACAAATAAAAAGAAGAAGAAAAGTTCCAATGAATGACAAATGCTTACCTCTCTCGGGCACGGGGTCGCCAACTCCAGTGCCAAGATGCAGGACTTCGCTCGCCTGCTCGTAGATGTTTGGGATTTTTGCGATACAGAGGAGGTTCAGGTGTCCCTGTTTGGTGTAGTGGAACGGCTGCAGCTGAAGACTTATTTCGCTCCACTGTTTGCCCTGACGAGGCGAGCGACCGCCACCGGCCGAGTATCCGCTGTAGTCGTGCTTCTCCAGGCTCTGCTTCGTCTCTGTGTCTTTCACCTGTTGATGAAGCAGACACGTGTATACGTGATATTATACAAACTTTGGTTTTATTGTGTACATTACATTCACACATTCAGAGATATTATTTTATACTAAGTAAGATAAATAATAGTTCAGCATAGTAGATCTTCAGGTGAAAATTAACTTCCGAAATTCCAAGTTAATCGTACACAGTAGAGAAATTTAAGTACAGATTTGTTTCTCACAAATAAAAAAAATCGAGATTACATAATAACTACATATAGAGTAAGTTAATGGGGTGAATAATTTTACAGGACTGCGTTGTTGTAACAAGGCTTGCCTTAAAAATGGGAAATTACTTCGTGAACTGATTTGGTGAATTCTTTTGCCGCAGAAATTTCCACCGAACAGCCTGTGTGTATGTGTGTGCGAGTGTTTTTTTTTTTTTTTTTTTTTTTTTTTTTTTTTTTTTTTTTTTTTTTAAGTTTTT